GACATAGAACATGCATGACCCCTCAGACATAGAACATGCATAGAACATGCAAGTGATATGTCTTACATAGGATCAATGAATAGTAAATAGTTCTGTGGAAGAGCAGAAAGTGATTTGGGACAATAACACGGAAACAGACTTGGCATCTCGTGATACTTCCGGTGTCTAGTGTGAATACTCCGCGGCTTTTCCTATTCCATGGGAGTCGCAGCTTTCTCCCGCTGGCTGAGCCGCAAGTACCCGTCCATCAGCCTAAAGAATGCAATGGCAGGAAGATCCCAGGGCACACAAGTATATGGATATATTTATCATTCATCCTTCTACCCACCCTGAACACAAACCGGCACCAAGAAATGAGGATGACATGATGGTTGCCATCTTTGAGTATATTGACAGGTTATTCAACATACATGTCAGACCTAGAAGGTTGCTGTACATGGCCATTGATGGTGTGGCACCCAGGGCTAAAATGAATCAACAACGTTCAAGACGTTTTAGGGCATCCAAAGAAGGGGCGGAGCTGACGGTGGAAAAAGATCGGATACGTGAGGAAGTTTTTTCCAAAGGTGGTTATCTGCCTTCTGAGGAGATCAAGGAGCGGTTTGATAGCAACTGTATTACACCCGGGACAGAGTTTATGGACAACCTGTGCTGTGGAAATGCTAATTCCCTGGCTGTCACTTAGCTTCGGGTAACACTAAGGAACTTGTATCTACATCCCAGGTTGTAGGAGTGAAGCCAGAGGATGCGGCGCGTTCACAAGGTGGCCGCTGTACTCTGCTGTGGAAATGTTACTAGGATGTGTTATTAGTGTAATGTTTTGTCATTAGTCTCTCAGTGTCTCGGTGTAAATAGACGCTGGGGGATTAATCCATTGGAGGAGATTTCTTATGCGCAGCGGAGCAGTGTCTTCTTGGCGAATGTATGGACGCCGGCTGGGGCCCCCCGTGCAATGCATGGATTTATTGGCTTGCGTGGATACATTTGTCTTGAACGCAGTATATGAAAGGAACGTGCGTTTGTTCTCTCTGGGGTGCCTGATCAACACGCCTGAGATGACATAACGTTGTCCCTGTGACTGAGCGCGCATGAGAATCCGAGTAACGTTATGTGGCATTGCTCACTGAGCCACGCGGGATAAAGTCACTCCGGTGGTCAGAGATTGTTACTACATGTGATTTGTTAGCTGACTCCTGT